CAAATCTGCATAAATACGTATAAAATTACCATGTGCCAACTAAGAGTTTTCAAAGAAGCTGGGTGTGGTGGTGCACACGCATAATTCCAGAACTTGGGAGATAGAGGCAGGAAGAACAGTTTCTCCAGATCATCTTTGGTTACACAGCAACTTTGAAGTTAGTCTGAGCTACATGAGACTCTGTTTTCAAAAATAAATAATAAAAAATGAACATTGGGGTAACAACTAGTAAAGTGCTTGCACTACAGACATGAGGACCCATGCTCCATCCCCAGAACCCATCTTTTAAAAACTGGAGGTATGATTTATATATATGATCCACTTGTACTCCCAGAACTAGAGAATCAGAGACAGCACATTTTTGGAGTTCAGTAGCCAACCTGGCCTGGATGGTGAGTACCAGACCAATAAGAGACCATGTTATAAAAACAAGCTTGTCTGCTGGCCTCCAATGCATGGATGCACACATGCAAGTAACTCTGCAAACATATGTGCCTCTGCACACATACACACCATTTTTTTAATATTATAAAGCAAAAATTAAAAAGAGTGTCGTTGAATGGGAAGAATTAAAAGATGTCTATAAACCATAAAATTAGGGCTGAGACGATGATCCATTGGGTCAAATGCTTGCAGTGCACGAGAACCTGAATTGGGGTCCCTGGTAATGTGGTCCTGTGAGTCTCAGCCAGACTCGCTGAACCTACACACTCCAGGTGCAATGGAGAGACCCTGTCTCAAAAATTAAGGTAAAATGTGAGTAAGGGGAGCAGCTCCATGTTGACCGTTGGCCTCCACAGCACACAGATGGGCACCTGTACACTCCCCGACACACACAGGATCAAAAATGCCATAATTTAGGTCACTGAAATTGCAACCTAAGTTTCATCTTTTCCTACTATAATATCAGTGTGGTCTACAGAGACTGTAACTATGGCAACATCAAGAAAAACTACCAAAAGCAGAACGGAAGCCAGGCTCTGGTTACAGCCCCATTTGCTTGTTTGCTTGGCACCTTTAGTTTTCTGCCTCTCTCTAGAGCAGCTGTCCATCTTGTCCCTAGTCAGGTGACCTCCGAATTGGATGAACCTAATTGGAGCAAGTGAAGGCACTAATAACCAGACACTCGACGTTAGTTAGCCACATGCGATATAATTCTTACCACTGCGAACACCAGAGAGGCGCCCTTGGAAAACCTGAGGATCTGCAATTCTTCGCAGACAGGCTGAAATACCAAAATCTTGGGCTTTTCCACGTGACCTTTAATTTTCCCAGTTTCCAGAAATAGCACAGTTTTCCTTCTGACCATTTCTAGGAAATGAAATACCAAATCCACTTCGCATTGAGGGCCGACGCCATTCCTTCCATCTCCCCAAATTCAACAGAATAAACAGACGATTCCTCACAGCAAAGCCCCTTCTGGGACCTCTGATGACACGCGGTGCTCACAGGAGCCGCAGTGGCTTTCGAATGAGATCCCCAGTGGGATCTTGTAATCTACTTAAACTCCCTGAGGCCTCTTTCTAGGAATTTCCATATTATTGTTTTGAGCTTTAAGTAACAGAAACAGAAGGAGAAGATAACTTTCAGTTCCATTCAGCCATTTTATGGAGCTGTCATTGTGCCCAGTTCTTGTGTCTGACGCCTATTTGGGACTGGCCTGGAGGAAAATACACCGAAGCTGATTTCCATGGCAGCAGGAGACAGGGTCGAGTTAAATGAGACCTCTCTGGTGTGGCTTCAAAAGTTCATTTGATAGACATTAATTGGCCACCCACCAGGTGAACAGCGGGGTGTATATTTAGGTATACAGTGGTCAAAGAAGCAAACCACCCTCTGCCTCTCAGAGCTGCTTCCAGCCAAGCCAAGAGAAGCCTGGGCCTATCACGTGGTAGTGGCCACATCGGAACCTTGCAATATTCTGACACCCCAATGGGAGATCAACTGAGAACTAATTAAAATAAAAATACAGACGAAGCAGACTTGAGCTATTTCAACGGCTCTAGGCAAAGGGGCCTTAAAATTTCCACCATACCTTGCAAAAACACCCAAATGCAAGACAACTTCTTAAATTCAAAGAAGGAATAACTGGCCAGATCTTACCTAACACGTTATCAAAGAACAGCCTCAGGCAGGGCTCAGACCTGCTGGATGCCCACTTTCCCTTTGTGCTGGCATGGTTTATTAGTCAAGGGAAAAGGCTCGGGTTATACAACACTGGCTCCACCTACCTCACCCCAAACAGGAGTTACCGCAAATAACACTCGAGTCAGCATCTCCCAGAAATATTTCTTGAAAAATAGCAGTATGGGGGGAAGGAAGGAAAGAGGAAGGAAGAAAAGGAGGCAGGGTGGGCAGAAGGCTGCAAAAAAAAAAATTCCTCTCCTCAGGGATTCGTAATGAAGACTGGCCCACTGCAAACTAGAAGAAACTTGGGGATCGGGGTTTTGTAGGAGGCATAGTTGTGGGCATTGGCGCTAGAACAGTAAATAACAAAAAAAAAAACCCAGAGTCTTCACTTTTGTGGCATTGAGTGACATGCCCATATGGCTAAACAGTCAGTAATAGCTGCCAAGGAAGAAAAAAAAAAACAAATAAAACTAAGGAGCACAGGGTGGGAGGAAGACGTTGCTATTTTGTCTTCAGAATCACCAGGGACCTCACTAAGAAAGTGACTGTTAGGCCAAGACAGGAAAGAGAGAGACATGTGACTCTCTGTCGGACAAACACTCCAGACAGGATAGCATGTGCAAAGACCCTGGGGTAGGAGCATTTGGCAGGCTTAGGTATCACAAAGAGGTGGGCATGGCTGCTGCAGCTTGAGCAAAGGGATCATAGGAGTATAAGATGGAAGAGGAAGCCAGAGCCCAGGTAGACACTTCAGCTCAAACGTGAATAAAATGAGACGCAACTGAAGGCTTCCAAACAGGGCTCAACAGTCTGAGAATAACCGGGAGAGAGTGGTACCCGGAGGACCACAGGAAGCCAGCATCTCCAGAGAGGTGGGCACTCCTTTTTTATATGCTGCTACGAGGACAGTGAGCCTTGGAAAGGACCACTGGATTTAACAGAACGGGAAGCGGGAGTGAGGCGGTAAGAGAAACACTGGAACAGAAACATCTGATTAGAGAGGAAGGGGGGCATGTGTATGCATGTGGGTTGTATAGGTGCACACACATGTGAAGGCCAGAGGTTGACACCAAGTGCTTCCCCTTATCACTTCCTATCCTGTTTGTTTGGTTGTTGGTTTTTTCAAAAAAAAAAAATAGCATTATGAAATTTGCAAGCAAATGGATGGGACTAGAAAAAAAATCATCCTGAGTGAGGTAACTTAGACCCACAAAGACAAACATGCTATGTTCTCACTCATAAGTGGACATTAACTATAAAGTAAAGGAGAATCAGACTACAACTCACAGATCCAGAGAGGCTAAGTAACAAGAAAAGCTCAAGGGGGAATGCATGGAGCCTAGGATAATCGTCATCAGAGAGGCTCCACCCATCCCATGGGAGCAGATGCGGGGACCCACAGCCAAGCATTAGGCGGAGCTTGGGAAATCCTGTGGAAGAGGGGACGAAGGCTTATAGGAGCAAGAAAACCCATAGAATCAACTAACCTGGGCTCATATGGTCAGAGCTGGAAGTGAGATCTGTGCTTCCCCTGGGTGACCTTGGGCAAACGAGTCTTTCTAAGATATATCCTGAACAGGCGGGAATATCCCCTGCCCCTTGAGGATCCTATGAGGGTTCGTGCAAGTGTCAGCACTCAGCTCCCCGCATAGAAGGGCTACCTGAGGACGTAGCCACACTTACTAGCCAATCAGCACTGTAAATCATCCAGGGGGACACTAGCCCATCCAAAGCATCTCCTCCAGGCACCAAGCCATGGTGCCCCTGGCCACCTCAGCATCCACACTTCTTGCTCTCAGTCTAAAGCCAGGAACTTAATAAGTCAAGACACAGCTCAAGGATAAATTAATTGTTCTTTCCAGGCACTTAGTTCATCTATAACAAATGAAGCCTTCCACTTCCTGCAAGACAGAACACTTTATAAAACCATGCATATATCATAGTTTCCATTTTTGAAATAATCTTTTACTTACAGAAAATTACAACAAGCAGTGCTACAAAGAAAGCTCACTATCCTTCACTCGCCTTCTGCTGATGTTTCCTCCAACCTCCCATGACCGTAATACAGTTGCCCAAACCAAGAAGACATCATTGACAAATTACTGTTTACTGTTTAAGTTACTCCTCCATGGGCCTTGCTCCAATGTTGCCAGCTTTCATCTTGTGCCCCTTTTATGATTCTGGATCCAGTCCAGAGTCCAATATCAAAATTTTTCTCAAATCTCTACTGGTTTGAGACAGTTTCTCCAAGTTTGTTTGTCTTTTGTGATTCTCTTTGTTGGAGTTTCTATTGTTGTAAAGAGACACCATGGCCACAGCATCTCTTATAAAGGAAAACATTTAATTGTGCCGGCTCACTTAGAGTTCAGAGGTTCAGTCCATTATCATCATGGCAGGAAGCAAGGCAGCATATAGGCAGACAAGGTGTTGGAGAAGAAGCTGAGCATTCTTACATCTCAACTCACAGGCAACAGGAAGTGGTCTGAGACACTGGGCAGTATCTTGAGCATATAAGACCTCAAAGCCTGTGTCCACAGTGACACACTTCCTCCAACAAAGCCACACCTCCTAATAGTGCCACTCCCTTTGGGGGCCATTTTCTTTCAAACCACCACAGTGACCGTGGCATCTGTGACGAGGACTGACTGACTGGCCAGGCATTTTGATTTAGATTTGTCTGATCTTTACTCATGTTTAGACTGAACTTGTGCGTTTTGGATAAAATCCCCCAGAAATGATGTTTGGCCTGCTCAGTGCATCACAATTGGAAACTCGTGTTGATGAATCTCAGAGCTGCTGATAAAACCTTTGACTAGAAAAAGTGAGTGAGGAGAGCACGGCGGCGGCGTAGCCATCGCTGAGGAGAGAGCGAGGCCCGAGCTTCCGCATCGAGATTTGGTGGCTGAGGAAGGGACCCAGAGACTCCTTGAACAACAAAACGAAGGCAAGTCAAAATGGTTTCAATCCCAGAATACTATGAAGGCAAGACTATCCTCCTCACAGGAGCTACTGGTTTCTTAGGGAAGGTGCTTCTGGAAAAGTTGCTGAGATCTTGTCCTAAGGTGAATTCAGTCTATGTTTTGGTGAGACAGAAAGCTGGACAGACACCGCAAGAGCGTGTGGAAGAAATCCTTAGTGGCAAGCTTTCTGACAGGTTGAGAGATGAAAATTCAGATTTTAGAGAGAAAATTATACCAATCAACAGTGATCTCACCCAACCTAAACTCGCTCTCAGTGAAGAAGATAAGGAGGTCATTATAGAATCTACCAATATCATATTCCACTGTGCAGCTACTGTAAGATTTAATGAAAATTTAAGAGATGCTGTTCAGTTAAATGTGATTGCTACAAGACAGCTTATTCTCCACGCACAGCAAATGAAGAATCTGGACGTGTTCATGCATGTGTCAACAGCGTATGCCTACTGCAATCAAAAGCATATCGATGAAGTAGTTTATCCTCCCCCTGTAGATCCCAAGAAGCTGATTGATTCTTTAGAATGGATGGATGATGGCCTAGTAAATGATATCACACCAAAATTGATAGGCGACAGACCTAATACATACATCTACACCAAGGCACTGGCAGAATATGTTGTACAACAAGAAGGAGCAAAGCTAAGTGTTGCCATTGTAAGGCCATCAATTGTTGGTGCCAGTTGGAAAGAACCTTTTCCAGGATGGATTGATAACTTTAATGGACCAAGTGGTCTCTTCATTGCGGCTGGGAAAGGAATTCTTCGAACAATGCGTGCCTCCAACAATGCCCTTGCAGATCTTGTTCCTGTAGATGTAGTGGTCAACACAAGCCTTGCTGCAGCCTGGTATTCTGGAGTCAATAGACCAAGAAACATCATGGTGTGTAATCGCACAACAGGCAGCACTAATCCTTTCCACTGGGGGGAAGTTGAATACCATGTAATTTCCACTTTCAAGAGGAATCCTCTCGAACAGGCCTTCAGACGGCCCAATGTAAATCTAACCTCCAATCACCTTTTATATCAGTACTGGATTGCTGTAAGCCATAAGGCCCCAGCATTCCTGTATGATATCTACCTCAGGATGACTGGAAGAAGCCCAAGGATGATAAAAACAATCACCCGTCTTCACAAAGCCATGGTGTTTCTTGAGTACTTCACAAGTAACTCTTGGGTTTGGAATACTGATAATGTCAATATGTTAATGAACCAATTAAACACTGAAGATAAAAAGACCTTTAATATTGATGTAAGGCAGCTACATTGGGCAGAATATATAGAGAATTACTGCATGGGGACTAAAAAATATGTATTGAATGAAGAGATGTCTGGCCTCCCTGCAACTAGAAAGCATCTGAACAAGTTGCGGAATATCCGTTATGGTTTCAATACTATCCTTGTGATTCTTATCTGGCGCATTTTTATTGCAAGATCACAAATGGCAAGAAACATCTGGTACTTTGTGGTTAGTCTGTGTTACAAATTTCTGTCATACTTCCGAGCATCCAGCACTATGAGATACTGAAGACCAAGAGTTTAGCATTAGAACATCTATGCATATGGTGATGTAAATGCACAAAATGTAAAATGTACCTAAGTCATCTCACCTTTTGTTAAGACATTAAACCATCTTAAGTTTGAGTGAGGAGTAAATTATGGTCCGTTTTATGTAACATTTTAATGTTTATGCTGAAAATCTACTGAACACACTGTGGTATGCCAGCTCAGATTTGCAATACCCACTCAAACTATGACTTATCATTTTGATCTTTGGAATGCAGAGGGTAGGAAGAGGAAAGAAGTGGGACTATGGGAACATTGACCAGTATAACTGTGCAGTTCTGGAACATACTAATTAAAACATGCCTTAACATGCAGTCCTAATATTCAGTGCAATGGGAAGTGTTCAGAGAAGAAGCCTAGTTAAATTAGTTAAGTATTTGATTTGATTCTTCAATGTTAGATTTCTTTTTTAATCAGATGAGAGGTGAATTTTAGTTTTGTTAAGACCACAGCCATGTATTTTTGCTTCCTATAAATTATAGGTGGTAGCATATATAAAGACTTGTTCTAACTTTCTTTCTGACTAAATGTGTGTCGTATATCATTTTCCTGCAAGTAATCAGTTGCTCTAAGGATCAGAAGGCCAAATATTATTCTAAAGACACTAACGGATCTAAGTGAACTTGAGAAACTGGATCAGTACATGCTCTGTGCATTTGAAGCAAAGTGAAACCATGCACAGTAAACCCGTGTTAGTATCAAAAGAATAGGACTTTTTTTCTAGTCTGCTTTTTGATCAAATGTAACTCTAGTGAGATATGTTCTCATTTTGAAGAGTATTTCTTGAGACTTGATTGGAGATTGGATTGGTGAAGGATTTGTTACATGTGTTCTCTCCTCCCTTACAAATTTTCTCACAGAATTCACCCCGTCTTGAACGTGCATTATTCTGAAGGAATGTAGTTGCAGCTTTTAACATTAAGAAAATGTCCTCATGTGTTTACCAACACATACTAATTTTGACCTTGAAAGCTGAATTCCTTAAAAATAAATAATGCATAAGTATGTGTATAAAATTAAATAAAGGATTTTACCATGTAAAGTAGCAAACTTTTGAATGAGTATCAAGTCATTTCTTTGCATGTTGTTTTAGCTTTAGAAAGACATGCGTTATAGAAACAAGTAATAGCAAGAAAATTGATGTATATTTATTGATGCATTACAATTCCCTTTAAATCTTACTAGTTTGTTACTATTTTATCATATATTTTCTTTACTGACTTGTTCAGCACAATGCTGTTATAATTAAGCTGATCAAGTACTACATTTAAATCATCAGCAGTGTACCTTGAAAGTGCTTAAAGGGGTCAGTTCACAGTACAAGAAATTAAATGTAACTTTACATTTTAATTTTTTGTCAGTTGAAATGCAGTGTAGAAGAAGTTTATTTTGCTATTGTGGAAAAGCAAAATGTAAGTAAACCAACTTTTTCCATGCTGGTGTATAGTCTTGAAAAGGAAAAAAAAAATGCTTCTGTGTTGAAGCCAGACTTTGTGTAGTAAAACTTATAAACATAATTTTAAAAGAAGTATGTATGTAAATATCTATGTATTCTTTGGAATGATACTGAAGTCTCTGGTCTAGGACCATGCCTTGTGTAAGGTATGAGAAACCATGATAGTGTGTGAAAATGGAATAAATGATGCTTATAAGGTAGCCCACATAATATACATTGAATACTCCATGTCTCCAAACACACTTCCATGATGTAATGACAACACGCTAACCTTTGTATGATTTTTGTACATCTGCCAAATATACCTAGAATCTGGTGAATTGTCTTTGGGTCTCAGAAAAGAATCAGGTGCAATGTGAGCAGGTCTGTAAAGTGAATCAACATGTGTCTTCTGTTTCTTGCTCTTGTCGTCTAATTTAAAGCAGTGCTGACTAGGGCTATGCTGAGGTTACAAATTAATTTTGTGTATTTAGAATCCTGTTCTCAAAAGAAAGGTAATGAATAAATGACACTCATTCTGGAATTTACAATTTTGAAATTAGTATGGAGAGATAGTCAGTCCTCACCAAGTATGCTTTGGAGTCAAGTCATATTTAAAGGATTTGTAAATGTATTTTGTTTGTTTGTAATTTGCTAGACAGCATTTTTAGTTCTGATTTTATTTTCCATAGAGATTATTCAATAGGACAACCTGTAAAATAAATTTATTTCATTCAACTCATTTGACAAAACCGTATTCTAAACCATTTGGAGGGTTTTTCATTACCTTTCCCTTCTCTGAACTCTGGCATACATATTTGTACACTGTAATGTCATTGTAACCATTTCATTGCCTTGGCAACGCTAATGTATCTTAAAGCTTAGTGCAGCTAAGCATGAGCAGGTGGTATGTTGTTTGACTTAAGGGTGACATAGAATAAGCGTTCCTCCAGTCTGCCTGATGAAGCTTGGAAGCGGGAGGGGACTCTCCCCTCTCTCCTTTGTGTTTGTCTATAGGAACTGATTGGAAAATTTTGTTTTGTGTATTGTTTGTTTGTTGTTTTAAGTGTAAACTGATAATCTTTTATAAGAAGTAAATAGAAGCATTGGGTGCCTTTGTTTGTAAACCGAAAAGTAATAAATGAACCCTATATTTCAAAAAAAAAAAAAAACCTTCGACTACTTGGCTGAGGTGGTATTTACAGATCTATTGTGTCTCATGTGGAATGGGACAGAATTCCAGCCTTCCCTAAGAACTATGGAGATGAGCAGATGTTACCCTCTGCTCAGCCAGCTGTGGAGAATAAGACCTTGAACTCAGGTGTCCCCCATCCAAACGTTTTCTCTTTCCCGTTTGCACTGCTGCACCTGGATGGCTTTCGTGCGCTGTTCTCATCCCACAGCTGGGTTTCCAGGGGAAACCACCACAGCAAATCACACTCTCTCATAAGTCAGGGTTTCCTCAAAGAAGGCAACGGCACAAGGTGAAAACAGAGGCGTGAACAGTAACAGGAAGTTCCCTGATGCAGTTCAGGACACAACACCTGCACCTAACTTACTAAGACACAGGAAGAAGGCAGCACAAGTCTACAAAAACCAAGAAATCTGTAACTGATTAAAAAAAAATCTTTAAGTAGTTCTTGGAAATCAAGGAGGATAGCTATAGGAAAGACAGGCAGAGTTCCGTTGTACTGGGCGTAGACCACGTGGGCACACCTTTAGATCGGCTCCCTCATCCCCAGCGCTCACAGCCTCCCTGAGACAGATGTACCACACATTAACATCCTGCCCTGCACGAGGTGTCAGAGACATAAAGAGGTTAAGATCAGGGATGGGGCTGAAGTTCAGTCCCATTCATTCACTCATCCACTCACCCAACATGAGAACCCATGCCTGCTTTCTTGTCTGAGTGCGAGGGCACATTCATACTAGAGCCGGTGGCCTCCGGACTGGAAGACTTGGGCTTCTCCGTGACCTTTCCCAGGAACCTAGACAGGCAGCGCTCCCTCGTGCCCATCCCCCACTCAAAGCAAGCAGACATCGGGCTTCTAAACGGAATGAACACAAACCAGAAAGAGTTTCAAATGAAAGCAGAAGGAGAAATCACTTAGGAGGAAGAAGAGAACCAAGTAGAGAGGCCAGAAAAAAAAACAAAAACAAAAACAAAAACAAAACAAAACGAAGAAACCCATAGTACTGGGCTGGTGAGATGGTTCAGTGGTAAAGGTGCTTGCCAGATGCTCTGAGTTTGATCCTCAGGACCCACGCGGCAGAAGGAGAGAACTGAACCCCACACACACCTATGGGCTGTATTCTGGTTTCCACTGGAGCAGCATGACTTGAGTGTCCTCTGATACACATGAACTAACTTCACACGGTATAATGATATAT